TTTTTTACAGTTGGTAGATTTCCACTGTGATCAGGAACTTGGACGCTCCTATTTTGAAGCACGAATTGCACCTGTTAATGATCCAACATTGAAAGTGATCTGGTTGAAAAATGGGCAACCGTTGCCAAGCGCTAATCGAATCCAGGTATATTTATTCAGGGATTGTTATATCGGGCAGTTTTTTTTTTTAGAATTTTGCTCTCTTGCATCTCTGTTTTCACGTTATTTAATCCAGTTGAAAATGGTAACACAAAGGAAATAAGAAGTGTAAAACTTTTGAGGAAATCTTAGATCAAATAACAGTTTTTTCAAGACTTTCTACAATTTTGGCTGCGTTTCCTTGACGCTACATCCGACGTATCCGGAAGATGAAGGCACCTATATTTGCGTCCTCAAAAATTTGCACGGTGAAGCTCAGAGTGTTGCGCAATTAACTACAGTGCATACAACCAGTCTGCAGCTTGATTCGAAGCATGAGCAGTCGCTTGCACAGATTGGCTATCTCGAAGGGCAGCAGGTATGTTTGGGACAGAAAAAAAAATTTAATAGTTTTCTATTATTGTTTGGCATGTAGAAGTAAGATGGGTATTTTTGCTTTTGCACTGTAAATGTGTCTAGTCGCCCTTACAGGGAAGGGAAATGAGAAAAATTAAGTTGAAAGAAGCAAAATGTAGACAGACAAGAAAAATGATTTTATCGGAGGGACGAGATGTTCGAGGGGCACGCCCTGTCTTTGCAAGGTATTCTGCAGACATCAGTAATTACGTTCTCACCGAGTCGAAAATTTTTTCCTTTCTGCTAACACTTAAGGCGGAGGTCACAGCGAAATGAGTAACATAGTAAGGAAGAAGCGGAATAATCAACAAAGCTAAATTGGGGGAAGAAGTAAAAGGCAAGAAAATTAAGCAGAGCGAGAAAACCACTGGCGATTGAGGGAACAAGAAACAAGGAGAAAAGGAAATTAATTCATCAGTAGTATTTTAAATGATTTCTTGCATCCAAACACGCACACACACAGATGTAGTAATATTCAAAAATTTGAGCGCAAATTTAGGTACACATTGGGCCACCTTCGGTGGAAAGGCCAGAAGAATTCAGCAGCTTGGAACCACCGCGCTTTGCTCGTCAGTTGGAAAGCCAGATTGAAGTGAATGAGAATGAACCGGTGCATTTTGAAGCACGAATACAACCGGCCAGCGACGTCAAAATGACTGTAGAATGGTACTCGCTTTTTTGTTTGGGAAAGAATTATTGGTGCAACATCTCTCTTTTATACGTCGCACCCACTGTGCCGTAATAAAAGTGCCATTTAATAGTAAAAGCAATATGTGGCAGATGGGCAGCTTGGTGTACTGGTAGTCAGTGCTATCCCCACACTGGAAAACAGTAGTTCAGTGCACTTAGTCCGCCTGTGATCCGCTTATTCGTTCGGAAGTTTGGCGCTGGCAAATACTGGCGAATCAAAACCAGCACTGATTTGCTTCTAACCAGCATTTAAGTGAGAGCATAGTCAGATCCAGGGGAGGGGACGGGGTGCGATGGGTCTTTCGCCCAGCCCCTCCCCAGCGGCATAGGCAGCAGTGCTACAAAAGTCAGGGTCTAAAGCTAAAACTGAAGAAAACTGTCTTCCGCAGTCCCATCACCCCCTTCCCCCTCCCTCCTTCCTCCCCAGGAGGCTACAATTTGAACTGATTCTCAGAGACTGAGTTATTGAGGAGGTTTTGGTCTTTGATATTTAAAAATGAGTGCGAGCAAGCCGTGGTTCGCTCGTACATAGCCTGTGGTTTGAGATGTATATTTTAGCGGGGTTTTCTCACAAAGCAGGTATCATTTAGCGGTTATTCACTCCCTGTTTTTGTCTAGTTCCAGCTAAATTTTCGTATTTGTCAAACTGGATTTTGTTTCACTGTTCCATTCTTTGTTCTTTCTTTGTCAAATTTTCTTGGGTTAACTTTTTCACTTTCCCGCCACGAATGATTTTGGTGCCGTTTTAGAACGAAAAAGAGGTGAGTACGCCTTCCTTTTTCTCCCTGCTTCCATTTCTTACTTCTCTCTTTCCTCCGTTCTTGTCCCATATCTATACGACCAGTACTGCTTTATTCTGGATTTAATCGTTCCTTGATGCATCATCACTCAGTCAGTTTAAATTGCTATTGACCTGTCAACTTTATGTACCGCCATGTCAGAAAATTATGGTAAAGCAGGACGCTTGCTTGATCTGTTGGATCTGAATTATAAGTAACGGCCATTAGATGGTCGAATCAGAAGTGGACAGTTCAAGTGGAGCGGCCTAACTGGGTTAAATTGATAAAAAATTTTTTTGCAGTCGTTGAAGTTTTTTACTGCCGAAGCGTTTGTGAATTCAGCTTCACATTGGTATGCCCTGATCCGGTCTTGAGTAAAAGACGTCGAAAATGAGGCACATTTGATTAAAAATTTGTCGAAGAAATCCGTAAAACACTTTGAGCACTCCCAAATGCTTGATCTTTTGTGATCCTATAACTGGAGTGCTGTTTAAACAGCATTCATCTGGTCCTCTTTCAGGATTTTGGGGCGCCATTAGTTCGTCCAGTCCCTTTCCTGAATCGGATCCTTGCGTAGAGGTGGGTATTCAGTTCAACCCTACCATCCTTGCTCTGTCGTTTGATGAACGATTTCACTGTAGATTCATCTCTGTTTTCTGAATGATGAATCCATAAATCAGTTTTTGTGCCGTTTCTTTTTTCTCCCAGAACCGCACCGCTGTAGATTTTATATGGCATTCACATTCGCAAAATCGTGGGGTCTCTTTTTTTGTCATTTTTGTATTGTCTACAACGAAGGCATTGTACAAGTGTACGGGAAATATAGGTCGTGTCGCGGACTACTGGATCGCAAACTCCGAGGACGCATCAAACAGAATGGCTCTATGGATGGGATGGGATCCAGTGCCATTCGTTTTTGGATTGTTTTTTTCCCCTACATTTATTGTTCACATAATTCCAGCTAATGTCTATCGCTACTTGTTTGTTTCGATAAAACCTCAGCCTTTGCAGTTCGTACTGACGAGTTCCAATCGTGGTAATGGTAAGAAGTGTATGCGACCTAATGGAACGAAACACTTCTTGTCATTATAATAATCTCACAAATTTTCTAATCTTCCTTTTTTGCCTTCTTTTTCCGCTCTTCTTTTTATTTCATTCCTTATTGAAACTTTCTACCAGGTATCACAATGGAGCACCACTGCCAGCCGCTCATCGATTCAGGCCAATGTTTGATTTTGGATATGTCGCCTTAGACATCCTCTATGCATCCCCGGAAGATTCGGGCTTGTACACATTAATTGCAAGAAACGAACTGGGCGAGGTGCAGTCAAATCTCGAGCTCATTGTTAATTCTGACAAGACCTTGTACCTGGATGCCCATCACCCAGAAGGTTTGTCGTCATCCACCTTTTTTTTTTGTAAAAACTAAAAGAATTCGTGTTTTTGCTTGATTTCCAGCATCACTTTTTTTTGT